GGAGTCGGATGCTCAGTGTGTTCTACTTCGCCATCCCAGTGGGCAGGTGAGTGGGCCTCGGGCCTGCCTGGTGGGAGGCAGAGGGGCTGGCATTGGGCAGGACTGACCAGCTGTCCCTCCCCTCCCGCCCTCTCCCCCAGTGGCCTGGGCTACATTGCCGGCTCCAAAGTGAAGGATGTGGCTGGGGACTGGCACTGGGCTCTGAGGGTGAGTCTGGTCACAGCCTGCGGGGAGGTCAGCAACATTCTCACTGATTCCCCCCTTTTTACCTTCAGACACCCCATTTTCAGGCAGCGTTTACTCTGCCAAGCCTGCAGGAGGCCTGGCTGCCCTCCCCACAAAACCATGTGGTCGACAGAACTCTTGGTTATGGGTGACAGAGCCCATTGTAAGGGCAAGCACCCAAATGGGATTGCACTGGCTCTCAGAAAGCAAGGCCCAGGGGGAACTTCAGGTACAGCCGGATCCAGGCGCCCACAGACAGGCGTTTGATCGCCCTCCTGAGCGCTGCTTCCCTCTGTGCTACTTTTGTTCTCAAGCAAGTGAACACTCCGTTTAGAAACTTTGGACCCGAGTCCTTGAGCAATAGTCCTGGATAGTGCCTGGTTAGGTGAACGTGGGTCACATGCCTCCCATCGACTGAATCAGTCCCTGAGGCTGGGGAAGTTGGCCAAGTCTGGGTTACAGGCCGTGCTCCCTACTGGCACCCGTGGATTTAGAGAAGTCGGGGGAGTGGTTTCCCAAAAGAAAGTTAGGGTGCTGTTTCCCAAGGAGGAGCAGTCAGGCTTGCAGAAATGGGAGTGGTCACTAGCGCCCCCCCTCCCCCAGTGGCAGCTCAGCTCCCTGAGCAGGCACCTACCCTCCTGTTTGAGGTCTTGGGGCCTGAGTTGCCCTTACACGCCCGCCTTCCCTTTCTCCCGGCTCCCAGCCCCAGGGTTGGGTGTGTCTCTGCCTGGGCCGGTCCTGAAGCCCACTCTTTCCCAGGTGACACCGGGTCTGGGGGTGGTGGCGGTGCTGCTGCTGTTCCTGGTCGTACGGGAGCCGCCGAGGGGAGCCGTGGAGCGCCACTCGGACTCACCACCCCTGAGCCCCACCTCGTGGCGGGCAGACCTGAGGGCGCTGGCTAGAAAGTGAGTTTAATTCCATCCTAACCCCACATCTTCGATCCCCAGGGAGGCCCTGGCCCTGGCAACTGGGTTGAAATTTACGTGGGGGTCGTCATTTTTTTAGAGAGAGAGAGAAACAAACATCGATTTGTGGATCCGCTTACTTACGCAGTCCTTGGCTGCTTTTGGCATGGGACCTGGCTGGAGACCGGACCCCATAACAGGCGTATGGGGAAGACGCTCCAGCCAACTGAGTTACCCTACCCGGCTGGTCTTCATTTTCTTTCCAATCTCCTGGCCCAATCTCAGGGCCAGTAATTCAGTCACTACTGCCCCCTGTGGCAGCTGCTTGAATTACAGGCCCAGATCCTGGGAGCCCGGACAGCCTCCACACCCAGGGCCCTGACCTTAGCAAAATCAGCCAGGAAGGGAGAGCAGAGTCCCCTCCCTGACCCCTCAGTGGCGTCTGACTCCCTCCCTTCCAACCGTCTCTGCAGCCCTAGCTTCGTCCTGTCCTCCCTTGGCTTCACTGCTGTGGCCTTCGTCACGGGCTCCCTGGCGCTCTGGGCTCCTGCGTTCCTGCTGCGTTCCCGCGTGGTCTTGGGGGAGACCCCGCCCTGTCTTCCTGGAGACTCTTGCTCCTCTTCTGACAGGTGCCCGGGTGGGGGCTGGGACGGATGGGCTGCAGGCGGCAGGGGGCGGCGTGGAAGGAGGACGGCCCAGGCTCACACAAGGGGAGTTTGAGTCTCAGTTCCACCAGCTGCCTTCCTCTCCCAGAGTTTGTTTCCTGGTCCAGGAAGTTGGTGATAGGAACCTAGTGAGCCGTGGGGCGTTGTGCCCGATAGACCTGGGTTGTGAGGTGGCTGGGATGGGCCATCTGCCTCTCCAGGCCATAGGGGTGGGGCTCGGGGCTTTGCAGGGGGACAGACCAGTCCCCATATCCCTCCTTCTGCCCCCAGCCTCATTTTTGGGCTCATCACCTGCCTGACTGGTGTCCTGGGAGTGGGCCTGGGCGTGGAGATCAGCCGCCGCCTTCGCCACTCCAACCCCCGGGCTGACCCACTGGTCTGTGCTGCTGGCCTCCTGGGCTCTGCGCCCTTCCTCTTCCTGTCCGTGGCTTGTGCCCGTGGCAGCATCGTGGCCACTTATGTGAGTAGCCAGCAGGCACCAGGAGGGCTGTTTGGGACCTGGGGAGGGAAGGGTGCACTGGGGCAGCCAGCAGAGTGGTTCACAGCCAGCTCTGGGGTGGGAATGCCTGGTTTTGAACCTCAGGTCTTGCGCTTCCCTACTGTGTGACGTTGGACAAGTGACTTAACCTGTCTGTGCCGTTTCACCGTTTGTAAAAAAGGAATGATAATGGCTCCTGTTTCTTAGTGGTGTTGTGAGGACTAAATGAGTTAATGGATGGGCCTCCATGTGTTTGCTCTTGTGATGAGCTCAGCCCTGCTTTCCCCACCCCCTGGTCCCCAGGTTTTCATCTTATTGGGAGACACTGTTGTCCATGAACTGGGCCATGTGGCTGACATTCTGCTGGTGAGTAGGTTGGCCGTTCCCGGCTTGGGTTCAGAGCCTGCAAGGAAGTGGG